CTGGAGTCGTGCGTCATGCTTCCTTTTGGTAGCGTGCTTGGCCGGAGTGGTCTGGGTGTCGTCGCGATAAGACAGTTGTAGCAATGCTAATAAATTGTTTGCTTTCATGGAGAAATCCAACCTGTGTGGCAGAAGTTTAAGGTATATTAGAGAGCAATGAAGATAAGTCGTGCAGGACTATGATAAGGTGTACATGCCATTTAGTGTTACTCACCTGCACTAACCAGCCATGGGTAACCAGTCTTGAGAGTTCAAGGAAAAAAGACACACCCTGCTTTGGTTCTGCATTTATGCTGCCTTTGGGTGGAACATAGGCTTTTCTTTTGGCTGACTGAAAGCTTGAAGTAAAGTCTTTCCGCTCAGTCTTTAGTGATGGTCCATTCCAGGAGTGAAATCCAATGCCCGTTCATTAGTCCCTGGAACTGTGTGGCTGATCTCAGTTTGGATTTTGTGTCATAAGAATTTGAATCTGAAAGCTCTCCTACAATACAGCCCTGAAAGGACTTCCACTGTGCAAAGTGCATTCGAGGAAGAGGAATTCCTTGTTCAATATTCCAGCCATCTTCCAGTGTTCAGTACTTCTGAGAAATTCCCCTCCTCTTCTTAACCTACTTGTGAGAAGAAGTTACTTCCCGATTTCTGCCATACAGCTGGTTTACAACCAGCTGTGAGATGAGGTTTCAGGGGAAAATCAGAGTCCATTTTTAATGTAGATGTGAGCCAATCGCCGATTTTAAATTAAAATTTTTCTGAATGACTGAAAAAAAGTACTTCGAACAATTCTTCACCCTGAAAACAAACTGTCTCTGCACCATGTGTTAATGCAAATGCTGCACCTTTGAAGATTGCTGTCTCCAGAGAGTAAAGAAAGGTGGTTTGTGCTTTGCTGAATGTGATCAGAGGAGGGAATGGTCCGGGTGGTGTCACTAACTCACCCGGATTCGCTTCAGCCCTGAATGTTTGCAGCACAAGATCTTGTGCTGTCTTCCTCACATACATATCTTTTTTCCTCATTTCCCTCTCCTTTTGTCCAGTGAAAATATCTTCATCATCAAATCCCTACACCTGATTTCTTGCTGCTTTGAGCTTTTGACCGGAGAAATACGTTTAAACCATTCCTTTAAACAATATGGTCTTTCAAGTGTTCCAGATCTTGGTGCGGTGCACGAGGCAGTGTGTTGGTTACAGCCTTCCCAACCACAGGCTGAAAATGAAAGTCAGGAGCTGCCTTTCCTGTCTTAGCTGTTCTCCTCGAGCAGTGCCAACAATAACAGCTCCGGGCCATACAAATGAACCTTCTCTTTTTTCTCCCCTAAAAGTGTCATTAATATCAGCTCTAATCCAATCTAAAGGACTGCCAGGCAGATCTTTCTCCCTTGTAAAAATGATGTGCAACGGAGGTGTCAGTGGAATGAGAAAACCAGTAAGCTGGAGAGTATTTCAGTTTGCTGGTTCTCTCAGTTCCATAATGCTGGAATAGCTCAGTACACAGGAAAATATTACATATTTATATAATTCAGTAAGCAAATACGATTTTCACAGCCCTGTGCAAATACATGCACGCACTGATAGTACGCCAGAACAGACACGTACAAACACCTGTATTCCATGTAGGCACATTTGTGTAGATTTTTTTCACTAGCTTTTTTAAAAAAATAACAAAACCTTCTGTTTTCAGGGACTTGCCTTGTGCCACGCTCAGAACCCCCAAACAAGGAGACAAACCGATTTTTTTTCAAGGGTGTAATGCACCCCGAGCTGTCGGGAGCCGCCCGGGGGTGCAGGGCCGCAGCTTTCAGTCTGGGGACGCGGGGACGGCGCTGGTGAACCGCGGGTCCGCAGACCCCGGTGCCCCCC